GGAGGAGATGATGGGCGGGCTGCACAGTCCAGACCTTGGACCCTCGCCCGGCTCTAGCCAGGGGTGTCGGGGAATCAAGGGATCCACAACCGAGCAGTGCCCCCCCTTTTGCTCTTGCCATCTGGGGATATTGGCCAATCAGAGAGGAAAGTTGCCCCGGTCCTCACGTTTCGCCAACAGCATTACCCCTGCCCTCTCAATCTCGTGCCTGTGTCCCGCAGATTCGCTCCCCCCTCTCTTGGCTCTTGCCCTCAAAGTGGCTCCTCCCACCTGCGCCTTTTCCAAGTTGTGCCTACGGAGTACCTACCTCCAGTCCACTTTCCATCAGGTCTTTCTTTCCATCTCTCCATCACTCGGATGTAGGGTACGTACCTGCTTTACTAAGGCAAGGTACCAGAGTACCTCCACTCTCTCGTGCCCTCCCCACTATTGATGTTCGTCCTTGGTTCCCCGTCCGTCTCCCCTTTCAGCTTGCGCTCCGCCTGCTGCCGCCGAACGCCCGTGAAGAACCAGCACTCCTGTACCAAACCCAAGCTGGACGCAGCCCATCTCACTCTCTTTCTCACCTAACTGTACTGGGCTCCACCATCCCATCCATCTGTCATCCTTCCACCCATCTCATCCCTCCCCCCCAGTCGATCCAGTCAGCGCGAGCCAAGCTAAGCCGAGCCAAGACCAGCCCAGCGCCGGTCTGTCTTTGCCTGCTTCTCTCTCTGCTCACTTTCGTTTCCTTCATAGCAGCCCTTTCCCACGTCCGTCCTTTTCCTCCACCCAACATCTCCAGGTTCCCCGTCGCCGCCTACCCAGACAAGATCCCGTCGACGACAAAAGACATTCAAGCCCCGTCAACCCGTCGACGTCGACTTGCGGCCGACAAACGACAAACCGCCGTTGATGTCTTTCACTTCAATCGCCTAGTCGCCTCTTTTTACCACCACCTCAAATGCCGAGCTAGTCTCTTCGTCCACTCGTTATCCCAACTACTACTACTACTACTCTCACTCTCACTATATCCGCTCCGAATTCCCTCGCACTTCGCACATCGACCTGTCCATTCCAGTCCAGCAAAACGCCCACACGCCAGCCTCGCTTCGCCACGAATCCATTCCTCAACGTATATTCGTAACCCCTTGCACACTGCGACTTGTCTCATCCACCCGACGTTTTTTTCAATCCATTCGCTATATATACTGCCGTTTCCCCAACTCACGCTTTCCCTGGTACCGACCCAACGGTCCACTCGTCTCGACCGTCTGATCACCCCCTCCGATTTGATCGACACTTTCTACGCCTAACGGTCTCGCTTCGTCGATCGGCATCGCTCGATCAGCGTCGCTGGCTATTTTTTTTCTCACTTCATCCCAAAAGTCATATTGTAGTTAGTTCATCATCATGGCTCACTTCGATCCTAACCTTCACCTCCGCTCACTCGAGGAGCTGGAAGCTGGTGCGTCACCAGACATCACCGTCGCCCCCTATCAGACCTCATTTGCTGACATGGCCACTATAGTTATCCTCCCGAGACAGAACGGCTGCCTCAAGTGCGAGGACAAGGCACCGACATGCCCTACCAACTGCAAGTCCGACGAGTTCTGCTCCTTCACCATCCCGACATGTAATACCTGTGCTCAGGCCATCTGCGCCAAGGACGACAGCAAATCATCCTCCTCATCAAGCAGCAAACCCAACACGGGCGCCATTGTTGGCGGTGTCATCGGCGGTCTCGTTGTCATTGCAATCGCCACATACCTTGTCTGGAGGTTCTTCATCAAGACGAAGAGACAGTCGATTATCCAGGAGTCCTATGCCGAGACAACCCACGAGAAGACGATCAACGAGAAGAGTACTGGCGTGTCACGACAAACCAACCGCGACTCGACACACACCGTTCACTCGATTGCATCAACAGTCCTCACCCGCGCTTCCAACATAATCCAGATCGCCTACATCCCCGGCGTCACGAACCGAGCCACTCCTACGTCACCAACTCTGCTCGTCCCTCCTGTCCCCCCTATTCCGATGCACGCCTCCAACTCCGCTGCAAGCAGCCCGTCACCGTACGAGGAGCAACACTTCTTCGTCCCTGGTGAACTGCGCGATTCCACCTACTCTGGCATCTCAGGCTACTCTGACCGCACGTCTGTTGCAAGAACCTCGTATGCTCCCCGATCTAGCATCGCTCCTAGTATCGCTTCCACCATCTACGGCAAGAATGCGGTTGTTGTATCACCCGCCCAGACTGGCATGCGCGCAAAGGCCGCTGTGGTCAGTGTAAAGTCAATGGGTGTCGGCACCAACGGCAGCAGCACTCCTCCAGTCCCCAGCGTCGATTATGAAAAGTACGCTCCTGGCCGTCCCAAGAGCCGTGACAGCACATTCAGCGTCGGATCTACCTTCCTGAACAACGCCAACACCGCCACCGCCGCCCCCGTCCAGAGAGTGCAGGTTGTCCGTGTAGGCAACGGCAACGGTCCCAAGCAAGTCAGCGTTGGATCCAAGGCATCATCAACATCAGAAGAGATCTCTGCACCGGGCACCCCCTTGCCACCTAGCACCACCGCGCCCGCCCGCGAATCTGCTGCCGTGACTGTTATCGATGAAAGCCCGGCAGTCGACCAAAGTCCCTTCTCCGACCCTCCTGAGCCATCACCAGCAGCTGTTCGCAGCAATCACAGTCTCAGTGCGGTGATCGAAGAGGCAACAAGGCGAGCCGCTGCCGGCCCCGACAGACGGTCTCAAAGGACAAGTTCTTACGAGCGGGGACGTAGTCCCTTCGGCGATGAACACGCCACGAAAGATTAAGAAAAGACAAAAACCAATGAAAAACAGGAAACCATATGATGGGCGTCGGCCCTGATCACGATTTACTTACAACTATTTACTTGCCTATATATCAGGGACGACCTCCCACGTTTCTTTCTCGTATCTACGTTTTGTTAGACGACCCGGTCAGAACAGGCCTACGGGACCAGACCGAGGGACGACTTTTGGATGGGAAGGATTATTATGGATAGGCAATGGCGTCGTGGATATTTACCTTTTACTTATGGAAGGGGTTATGGAATGAATGTAGGGGTTTACGTCAACCTATTCACGCATTTACCGATATGTCCATTGAATAGAAATGTGACAATTCATCCACTATTTTACGGAACCTACTCTTCATCCAGTGACTCATGCTACCAAGTTCTGTGTTCCCCTCGTGACCTCCATGTACTGGCTTTACTAGTACTTTTTCATTGGGTGAGTGAACATTACAAAGTGTTTCAACACAACAACCTGTTTTGGGGGAGAGTTGACTGTCGGTAGAGGAAGGCAAAGCCATATATGGATGGACGGTGTTCTAAAATGCTTGGTTAGTATTTACCGTATACCTCTCGAGCCACGTGTAGGGCACAATCCCTCATCCTGCGATCCATAACTTGGCTAATCAGACATCCACAGTAGAAGTGAGTTCATCCCATGGCCGACCTAGGACCAACACATTCAGAACTTGACACAGTAGCTCACGTGGGCTCATCGTCTGTAGTGGGTAGCAGAGGGACTGAGTAAGTAGTATAAAATGGGAAGCAGGTTCCCCCAAAACAAGGTCTCTCTTTGCCAACCACGTTGAAGGATTTGCTTCTGTAGATGGACGTCGAGTCCTCGATCAATTTTGTCTATAAGCTTGGTCGGCCAAGGCAACGAACGGATCATGGGTCGCTGCCTACGAGATATCTATATTAGTGACTTGCCGCCTTCCATGACCCCGTCTCTGGCCGTATTCCTTCAAGTATATATAGTAGTCGGACGATGAGGAGTGATGAATGGGGTATGATGTTACTTCTGCAGCTGGTGTAAGTCCTCCTCTCGCCATTGCGCCGCGAACCACCGATCCCATGCGCCCTCTCAGCCTCGGCCCCGATCTGATTGAGTGGATCTCTCAAAAGCGCAAGACCGTCTACGACCTCGATACGTCGAACCTTTACCGCTGCTCTCACGCGACTATAGATCGTAATGCTTGAGAGATATTAGGGCGGGATCCACCTGCCTTCATTTCACAGACCCTTGGCCACCGAGCAGTACCAATTCCATTGGGTGAAGTGAAGCCTTTGAGAGCAGTTGAGCCTTGTTCTTATAGGTAGAGAAAAGAACTTATGTGATGGTATGAGATGTGGTTGGGCAGTTGTGCTCTTTCCTCTTTTTGAAGCTGGGAAGGAAGGGGGCAGAGACGGAGAACGAGGATTTGGCCGAGGAAAATCTTGGAAAGTGTCCTGATAGCGGCTTCTTTAGCGAATGATTATACGTTTACTGCGAGACTGGCATGGGCGTCTGCTCTTGTGTCTGTGGAAACGTGGCTAGGAATGATCCGATGGTCTGCGCTGCATCGCCTGGTCTAGTTAACGAGATATCATCGGCCACAATGGAGCCGCCAAACATCGACACACTAAGGACGAAGGTAAGGGTGATTTCCTTCCAAGTCTGGCTACTCTAGATAAAGAAGCAGCTGCAGTTCCGAAAGATTGCGAAGCAAACAACGGCTAACGCAAGGGTATTGGCAACTGAACGTCTGCATTTGTCAATCCGCAAGGATGGCACAACCGCCTTCCCATCTAGGCGGAAGAGGGGGGGGGGGCTGGGCAGTTGGCAAACATGCAATGGGCGTCGGATGTTGGACGACAAAAGACGCGTCAACCCAATGTTTGACTTGCATGTGCATGCGAGAATGGAAGCGGCCAGAGCCAATTGGGCGGGCGCCTTCAAGCTGCCGCTCTGTTGGTTCTGGAGATTCTGCAGCTTTTTTCATCAAACCCATGTCGCCAAACTATGGGGACGACCAGATTGGATGCCTACAAAACCCCTCCCCTCCTTCAATCCTGTGCCCTGGAGAGTCTCTACTGATGGAACTTTGGGTTGGGCCATTCTATCTCTTTGTTTCTCTGCTGAGACTTTAAATTATTTTTTTTACCTGCCCCAAGTTGAAGTGTCGGTGAGCTGAGAAAGGCAATCAGAACACAGAAATGGCCAGTTCACCTCCAGTTGCCGTGCCGGCCGAGAGCCCAGCGACGACGACGGCACCAATCCTAATCCCAAACGCAACGGCCCCTCTTGAGCCCGAGGAAGAAAGCAATGTTGGTGACCTGTTCCGGGTTTGGTAGTAGCAGATAGGTGCATCGCTGACATGGATAACCGCTAGACAACTGACGATACCTCCTCAATCGATGAGCGCATGTACGATGCCCCACCCCCCTATGACGGAGTGATGAACGTCCGGACAGTGCTGACCAGACACTCACACTTCCAGTTCCAATTTCACCGCCTCGCTATCGTCAAGCGTTGTTGATTACCCTGTCGAGTATGGACGCCGGTATCACGCGTACAGACCGGGCAGTATGTTCAAACCATTTCTCCTGCTGCTTTGCTCTCCTCTCGGCAATGTCTGACATGAAACCGCAGCTTACAAGTTCCCCAATGACGAGGTTTGTTACGAGTCTCGCCCTACCTAAATGAAAGCCAAACGTTTTGACAAAGCCCCAAAACCTTTAGAAGGAGATGGACCGGCTTGATCTCGCGCATGCGATGATTGTCAAGGCGACGGGCAGCAAACTCTTCCATGCCCCTCTCGATTGGGACAAGATCCATTCCATCCTAGACATCGGGACAGGCACCGGACTTTGTATGAAGAAATCCATTCCAAAACATAGCTTGATGTGAAGAGAGTAGAGATGGTTAATTAATCATTTTTACAGGGGCTGTTGAAATGGGCGACATCTTTGAACGCGCCGAGGTAAGCTGAGCCGCGACACGTGTCCGGCCTACTCACCTGTCATGAAGGCTAATATCATGGCGCAGGTTTACGGGAATGACTTGAGCGCTATTCAGCCCCAATGGTTAGTTCTATAGGACGCCACTTCCTTGATTACAGCTAACGGAATGAAAAGGATCCCTCCTAATGTCAGGTTTGAGATCGACGACGTTGAGAGTCCCTGGGTCGAGACCAAAAAGTACGACTTCATCATGTGCCGCTACATGACAGCCTCAATTACGGACTGGCCCAAGCTGGTCCGCAACATTTACAAGTAAACCACCTCACCTCCACCTTTCCTGCCCCTTCCCCGGGTCTCTAGAGTGCGCACCGAGCATTGGATTATTCGCTAACACAAATGCCCAAAAATCAGCCACCTAAACCCGGGCGGCTGGGTCGAGTTCCTAGACATGAACCCGGAATTCTACTCCGAGGATGGCAGCTACACCCGAGACCACGCCACGTACAAGTGGAACCAGACCTTTTTGGCCGCCATCCGGGCCGTTGGGCGTGACCCGACCCCTGGCCCGGGACACGAGGCCCGCGTCCGGGAGGCGGGCTTCACCAACGTCACGGCAGAGAAGTACAAGGCGCCGCTGACGCCCTGGGCCAAGGACCAGCACTACAAGGACCTGGGTATGATGAACCTGGTCCTAACGATTGATGGGTTGGAGGGGTTTTCGATGAAGATGTTTACTGAAGTCCTTGGACGGACGAGGGAGGAGGTCGAAGTGGAGATCATGGGCGTGAGGAACGAGTTGAAGGCCAACCCGCCCATTTTCCGTGCGTTGGTTGAATTGTGAGTTTACTCTTTTCCTGTTCTGGGGTACCGTCTCGGCAGGCCAAGCAAGCCCCATGGTCGCTCGAAGGTTGAGATGCTAATTTTGCCGTCAAACAGCGATGTTGTGTACGGACAGAAACCGCTTGCTGAGCCTGAAGAGCACACCGAGGCATAATTTTTCTCAACGATGAGACGAGCCTTTCTTGTCAAGTCTTGTTGGCTGCAGCAATCTCGCTCAGAATGTCTACTTTGGCATACAAATGCTTCTCTACTAGGAGCCAACGCAAGAGTCGGGCGTTACCCGACCCTTGTAGAACTTTAGGTTATGCGTAATGGGGGGTTTAAGACTCTCTCGAGCATGAGCAACGCGTAGCCGGGAATAAGATTCCATTTTGAGAAGCTTTGCTATATTCATTTCATCGGTCGTTATACTTAATCATACTACTAGTACGCCCCAGCATCGCTCTGTCCGGAGAGGTAAGATGCCCTCAGCCACAATCTGATGAGAACTTGCCTGACCGGTGCCACTATGCTTTCCCAAGAGACTTCGGTCGCGCCGCAACTCCAAAGCTCACTGAACAACACCTCCGATGCTTCGCAAATAATGACGGTTATCTCACGATCTCTCCCACCAACTATCGTGCCTCACGTACAATTGACTACTCCTGTATCGAAGTCGAACAACAAAGTAGATGAAGCGGCATACGTTGCAAAAGCCGCACGATAGAGGCCTCAAGAAGACCACTTTACACACTTTCCCCAATGAACCCCTCAACAGTGTGATGCTTCCACACCGACTAAGAAACGAGACGTCATTCTTCTCCGTACCTTGGCGAAATTGAACGTATTATCGGCATCGGCATCGGAGCAGGGCGTTCCTCCTGGTGAGCCGCATACACCGGAGGAGGCGCCGCAAGCCCTCCCACATCCAAAAGCTCGATCCCAGCCTCGACACCACCCCCGGCGCCGGGCCGCTCATACATCGGAGCCGCACAAACCGCCTCGGCGGCCCACACGGCCACAAAGAAGACAGCCGAAGCGACAAAGACCACCGCCACCGCCACGCCGCTCCAGTGCGATTCCCGCGTGGCGAGACCGATCGCCGGGCCGAGGACCAGCGTCGTCGCGCACTGCGCCGTCGCGGCGAGGCCGAAGAGCCGGCCGGCGTACTTTGCGCGCACGGCGACGCCGAGCCCGTACAGCATCAGGGCGTAGCATTGGCCCGGGATTGTCGTCGCGATGGCCGTTGCGGAGACCATGCCGACGAGGAAGACGAGTTGGTTTCTGTATAGGGCTGTGGCGCTGGTGAGGACTACTAGGCCCGTTGCGACGAGGAGGTGGCCGTAGTCCCGGAGCGCGATGCGGTCGCCTGAGACCCGTCGGCGGTTGGGGCAGCAGTAGATTGAGGGGAGGAGGAGGCAGGTGATGAGGATGATTCCGACGAGGGGAGTCCAGTAGGACACGACGCCGCCGCGATATGTCGAGTAGGGGTGTCCCTCGAGGCCCCCGTGCGGGTTATACCTGGCGGCGAAGTAGAAGTCGAGGGAGGAGGGCACCGTTCTCGCCAAGGTGAGGACGAGGCTGAGGATGGCGAGGAGGGGCAGGGCGCGGTAGGTTATCAGGGTGGAGACGACGCGGTGAAGAGGTCGGACCGCGGCCTGGTTTGCTGGGAAGATTTCTGGGGACGGCTCGCCTCTGAAGGCCTCGTGCTGCGCGTATAGAAGCTCGGGAAACGCCACGATAAAGTTGGTGCCAACGCAGAAGGCGACACAGCCGATGAGGGCCGCGATTTCGAGGGCCATTGGCGGGGCATACCTGTGGATGACATTCGAGACCACGAGTCCAGTCAGGGCGGAGGAGATCACGAGGCCGAAGTGTTTCGAGCGCTGGCGGTCGTCTGTGGTGTCGCTCGTCATGGCCAAGACGGCGACCTCGACGCACGTCTTTCCGGCGCCGATGGCGAAGAAGAGGAACCAGATGACGCCCCATGATGAGATCTGAACGGACGTGACGAGGATACCCGAGAAGAGGCCCCAGAGGCAGGCGCCCGAGATGAAAGCCCCGCGCCGGCCCTTGGTGTCGGACCGTTTGCCCAGGGGATAGGCGGATAGGAGGCCGCCGGCGGACTGGCAGACCTGGGCGACGACTTCGACCCACTCGAGCTGCTTGTCTACGGCGTCGGTGTGACATAGACCGTTCTCGATGGGAGTTTTCTCGGGTAGGCCGTACTGTTGTCGGCAGACGACCTGTCGCAGGTAGCCTTGGATGGAAACCTGCACCATGGAGGCGCCAAAGGTCAATGTGAAGACCATGAGCATCAGGAACACAAGTGCGAATGTGTTCGAGGCTCGGGCAGCTGCCGCGCTGTTAACTGATGGTGTTGAAGGCATTGTGGCCGTTTCTTGGAATTGTCTTTGATGGTCTTGTCGTGGTTGTGAAGTATTCTCTGAAGTATATACTGCTGTTTGGAGATGGTCGATAGTCCTGAGCGTTTAGAAGTCAATACAGAAGCAGAAATGAGAGGCATACAAGATGCGTTATATCAGTCATGAATAAACTTTCGACGGCATCTCCAATGAGAACATGAGAAAGAATCAGAAAGACGGGAACTTGGCTGGGAGGGTGCACCATCTTGCAGAGTCATACATGCGCCCCGTTGCCCATACTCAAGCGTGAGATGGTCGAGGGATATGATGGGTACTGACCTAGAAAACTTCGTCGTATGTGCCCCTGGCTACCTTACTATCTCTAGAGTGGGCTAGACGAGAGCCATCCGTCCGTTTAGAGCGGAAGCTGTGAATAAATTGCGCAGGTCGCCGGTCTCAGTTGTGTTCATGGAGTCATGTTTCTTCGGCATAGAAAAGTCGCTGGTATAGAAACATCCGCGTATCAACGACGGTCTTGGGTATGTAAAGGTGAGATTGGAACAAAGGCGCGAGAACTCTTTTAAAAAATCTTTCATCGTGAACCTTGGTAGTACATCACTCATAGTCCCGCGCGTAGACCTGTTTTCCGCCCACCCAGGTCTCCTTGACTTTAAGCTCCCGCAGCTCGTCAAGGTCCAAGTCCTCCAGAGGCTGGTCCAGCACGACCCAATCAGCCAGCGCGCCCTCCTTGATGAGACCGGCTCGTCCTTCCATGAAGGCGCCGTAAGCAGGGCTCTTGGTGAACCCGAGCAAGGCTTCGTCTAAGCTCAGTGCCTCCTCGGTGTGCCAGCCATCTCCACTTCCGTTGACGCCGTATCCCGTGTGGGGGCTCTTGCGAGCGACGGCGGCGTAGATACCCTGGAACGGGTCGGGCGGCTCGACGGGGAAATCGCTGCCCAGGATCGGGTGGACGTCCAGAAGCGACCGCATCCGGTACGCCTCTCTTTTGGTGCGCTCTGCGCCGAGGCGTAGTTCCGCATACTTCATATCGGAGGTTGCGTGTGTCGGTTGAATGGATGGGATAATACCAATATCATGAATCCTCTTCTGGTCATCCTCGTGGATAATTTGCGAATGTTCGATACGGAATCGTCGTCGGGCCTGGCAATCTGCGAGGTCCCCATCCGGGCAAACATCTCGAAGGCCGGCCTCCAAGGCATCGACGGCGTAGCGATTCGCCAGGTCTCCAATGGCGTGAATGTTGACCTGGTACCCAACGGATGCCCAGGACCTGCCAAGTTGCTTCAAAGTTGAGCCGTTGACGAGAAGAGAGCCGGCGGTGTCGGGGCGATCACTATATGGTTCGATCATGGCACTTCCCCAACTACCAAGAGCGCCGTCTGGGAGTTGTTAGCCTCAGTGGCCAATTTCATGCCCTACCTCGTAAGACATACCTGCAAAAAGCTTGACGGACTTGACGCTGAAGAGGTCATCCTCACGGAAGACCCGAGCAGCATCTTCGGGACAGAAAGTATTACGCTGAGCGCACTCCAACATGGCATATACGCGGACGGTCCAGTCATCCGTGCCTGCCATATCGGCGTAGAGGTCGAGCTCCTCCGGAAAGACGCCGGCATCATGCATACCGACCAGACCGACCTCGTTCAACTTGGCCATGGCGGCGGCAATGAATGCTCGCTTCTTCTCGGGTCCGGGCTTCGGCCACAAGTTGTAGATCAGATCCATGGCGTTATCACAAAAAACGCCCATGCCTGGCTCGCGGACGATCTCGCCGCCAGGCACATCTGGGAGGTCTGCGGGCAACAGGTCGAGCACTGCTTGAGATACCCACGCACAGTGGACATCAATCCTGTCAAGCATGAAGTACTTGCCCTTTAGAGATTCGTCCTCTTCAATGTCTGCCTTATCGGGGGTTAGGGACATCGCTGAACACAAAGGGGCAAAGCGAACTCACAGCGGTCGGCATTCTGCCGTACGCCGACTGATCCCACCCAATTCCACGAATCCATTCATTCTTAGCGCCAGCATCGGGATGGCTGTCGACATAGTCCCTTAGGCGACCCCGAACATCATCCAAAGAAGAGGCCCCGAAGAGATCGGCCGAGTAGAGAAACTCGCCATACTGACTCAGGTGGCCGTGGCCATCCCACAGACCAGGAATGACGAATCCGGCCGTGGTAGTCAAGCTTGCATCATCCCACGGGAACACACGAGTGAACTTGCCGTCAGCCACAGTAAAGCACTGGGCTGACGGTTGGTCCTCGTCGTGCGTGCGGACGCCTTGGTAGCAGTACGTTTGGGTGTCATCGATGTCGCCCAAGAGGGGTTGCTGGAGGCGCACGACGGCGATTGCGACCACGGCCGCGGCGGCTGAGAGGCCCAGTCCCCACCTCAAGATTGGATTCGAGGACATGATGCTGGAATCCTAGCCACTCATTGAGGGAATCAGTGTCTCAGCCTGAGTCAAATGGCCTTCTTTGTTGGAAGACGACGTCTTGAAATTCGGTGTGGAAGGTCGATGTCCTTATCGCGCGGTTTGATAAGAGGGGGGGTTATCTTATCTGCGCATGGGGGAGCAGGGATGACAGCTTCATGGTACTTCTTTAAAATAACTTCATCAACTTCATCACCCAGTGTCCTTGAATTGTCCAACATTTCTGATGGTAAAGAACATGCTGCTTGTACACAAAAAATTGAGGGGAAACTATTCACGCTTTTCTGTGAGGGCAGGTTCATATGCCCGTTACAAGAGCACCGTTGCTGCAAAGTCGCTTCCGCCACACAGAGCGTTGAGACGTTGTCATGTTGAGTCCGCAAACGGTAAAACCAAAAGATCTCAATATCCAGTGGCTTGGCGCCACATGGCGGCTTCGTGAAATCAATGCTAGCTCCTGTCCCTAGAATACCTCAAGAAGCTTATTCCAACGGGGACGGACCATATTTATTCGCGTCTTACATAGAACTGCTTACAACTCCAAAACGTTTACTCCAACGAGCTCTATTCAATAACCGAAGGGCGCAAGTGCTGCCTACCTCAGGCTCCCGTCTGCCTCACCGCCGTCAACAGACATTCGCCTCAAAAATAGCTCCCTTCATCCTGTCTCCTGTCCCTAAACCTGGCTAGACTCGACACTGCCAGTATTCGCATCCCCTCTCCGGGATTTTACAATCTGATTGTCGCCAAAATGTCTATGACCCGAGACCAGTTAGAAACTCTCACGACGAGAGACGTCCGCGATCCAATCCCCCCAGAAATCTTATAGCAGGCACTGAGCGCCCCACCCTTCATCCCCGTCCCAGAGCTCATCAACATCCGCGACCTCGGCGCCGTCCCTGGCTCCGGCGTCCGTCCAGGTCTCGTATACTGCTGCGGCATGCTCGAGACCGCCACCCAAAATCCACAAGCGCTCGAGTGGCTGGCTGCCAACGTGAAGCACGTCTTTGACGTCCGTACCTCTGCGGAACGGGAGAAGCATCCCGCTCCAGAGGTCAAGGGGGTCGCAAACACATGGCTCGAGAGCGCGGGTGTCCACAGCCCGCCTGACCTGGACGACTTTGTCGAGGCGGGGGGCGAAGTTGGACTCCGGAAGGAGTACCTCAAGGTCCTCAACTTGTACGGGCCCATCTACCGAGCCATCTTGGAGCACGTGCGTGAGAAGCCCGAGGAGCCTTTTCTCTTTCACTGCACAGGTACGCATACTTACCTACCTGGCTGGGGATTCTAACGAAAAGGCCAAGCACCGTGCGACGTGGCCAGCCAAGGTAGAAGAGCCCAACTAACACGAAAACCCCCTTGTAGCTGGAAGAGACAGCACCGGCGTAATGGCAGGTCTCCTGCAATCTCTCGCGGGCACCGCGCCCGAGGACGTCCGCTTCGATTGCATGCTCTCGCGCATCGGTACCGAGCCAGCGAGGGAGCGGCTCCTCCAGCAGGCCCGCGCCGGCGGCGGTAGCCTCGCTTTCGAGCAACACCCGGGCTTCTACAACCTGTGCAGCCTGCGGACGTCGTGCTGGGATGCGTTCGTCGCGGCATTGCAGGAAGTGCATGGCGGTTGGGAGGGGTACATTCTGACAAGTCTTGGCTTTTCGAGCGACGACTTGGTCAAGATCAAGAATAACCTTCGCGGGGATGGGGATCCGGCATTGAATTTTACGGCGTGATGACTATCGAGGGGCCGGATCGGGGTATGAGCCGACGGCGGTTATTCATGTACTGTCGAAGTTGGACCAGATGCACCAGATACACGATTGATATGAAGGTCTACTCGCGTGGCCAGCCACTTTCAGGGTGACATTCGTGAAATAAAGAAAAGCCCATTACCCCTTCATGTTCTCAAGCTGGAGCTATCGTGCAACTAGACACCATTGGGGAGCAAAGGAGGGGAGATATCCTACGCAGGGAAAAAGGGCAACAGTTCCAGTGAGGTAACCCCTTTACCCGTTGACGATGGAAGTGTGAAAGTTACGGAGGGAAAGCTCGAGCTGAAGGGACCATCATCACCCAGCTCTTCATCGTGACTCCAACGTAGTCAAGTAAGAATAGCCCGCTTTCGAATCGAATAAGATCGAAGACTCGCTTAGAATGAAGTTCGTTTCGTCACCGCACTCGCCGCGGTCCTTGCAGTGGTAGCAGAAGCCAATCCTGCCAAGCCAGGACCACCACGACTACGCTGTATACGTTGCAGACTTCTAGAAGTACCGGGGGATTTGCGAGGATAACATTTCCCGAGAAGCAATGGTGATGGCTCTGTGTAGGTGCAAAGTGACAGAGAAGACCAGGCTTGGTGAGGACGGGTGCCTCGACAGCATCGCCTCTCGCCTTAAACATCAGACCTCGGATTCACCAACATCAATATCTTCCTTGGCCTTGAAGATCTGGCACAAGAAAGAAAAGAAGCCGTATGTTTGACGACCGGATAAAGTGCACCTTCAAAGGGATCACCGTTCCAAGACCACCAGCGATGTCATTTCCCCTCAGTGATATTCCGTTCCATCTCAATCCAGACCCAAGTCGGTTGTCTTGACTTGGTCAGTATTGAGACCACAAGAGACCAAAAAAGGTCTCGAACCCGCAAAACTGACGTCGAATTCTGGTGGTCCCCAGTCTAACCGTCGTCAGCGGCCGCAAATCTCCCCATGCCTATCTCTTTCCCCAAATCAACTTCTCGCACGCCAACAAAACGATCCGTCCAACAACGCACTATCTTCCCGATCAGCCAGCGTGATACACACAAAGAGGAAAGGTCAGACCGTTCAGTCTATCTACGTTTGATCATTAACCGGGGGAGAAAACAAGAAACTGAGGCTTCCGTTTGGGCCCAGACCTGTCCGTAAAGGTATGACAAGCCACACCTACCTGCTGTGGTACGAACCAACAGTTGCGCATGACATCATACCTATATTGACCATGCCAGCCAGCCACACTTCGCCCGTGCCACAACTCTAATTGGCGGAATCCACACCCCTAGTATTCTGGCGCAAGCGCGTCGCTTCGGGACAAGAGACAGGGGTATGAGGCTGGACCCAATGAGATTCCTTCCTCCGACCGCACCTCGACGTCACCAGCCACAGGACCCTCCAAAACTTGATTTTTGGGCTGATGGGCTTTGGGGCTGGACTCTGAGGGATCCTCGCGCTCGCTCACCTTGACCTCACCTCGCAGTCGAGTCGCAACAAACGGAGAGCAATCTCACTTTGAGCTCTTCCCCCCCGAGATGGTCACTCTGGCCAGCCTTGGCCATTTCCCACCACCCATGTCCAACCTGCCTCCCCCCCTCCTACGTAACAATGTCTGAATGTACTTCGTACCAGTCCTCCTACCCAACGGAATGAACTGCAAGGGACGTCACCTCTGTCCCGCAATCAGGGTCCGACGACACCCTCCACCTCCTCCATCTTTATTCCGTCGTCAGAGGGAGGGTCACAAAACGAAGATAGGGTCCAAAGTGTGGAACCAAGACGCAGGTTTCGGACCCTTTACGCATCAAACCCACCAAAGGATGCCCACCCACTAACAGTGTTCATACGAAAAGAGAGATACCTAGCCTTGTCGCCTTTAGCGCAGCATGTAGGTATTGTAGAGACCTCAGACTCGAGACCACACACACACGCACAAAAACGTAGATCCCCTGGACCCTGACATCATCCCCCTCCCGGGGCCCTGATCCCGCAAGACCCCCTGTCTGTTCACGAACCTCCCACCCCGCGATGATGACATGCCCAAATCACACAATCTACCAACATACGCCATCTGACATACCTGATCACCTCCAAAATCGCATTCCTGAATAGAACCACCAAGAAAGCATATAAACCACCCTCCAACCCCACCTACCATCATCTTCCCTCCTCTCATCATCAGCATCAAGCTACCAAACAACCAAACCCAACAATCCAAACAAACAACCACCTGACTGCAAGTCAACCCCATCAAACAAAACAACCAAACAATCAAAACCACTTGAACCAAACCTCCTTCACTCCCCAAAAAAAACCGCAACCATGCCTCTCAGATCAACCCGCCACACAACCACCACCGCCCCCCGCCGCAGCATCTTCTCCCGCCGCGCCCCCGCCCACACAACCCACCACCACACCACCGCCACAAAGACAACCCGCACCAAGCGCGGCGGCGGCCTCTTCTCCCGTCGCCGCGGCCCCGTCGTCCACACGGCCCCCGTCCACCATCAGCGCCGCAAGCCCTCCATGGGCGACAAGATCTCCGGTGCCATGCTCAAGCTCAAGGGCACCTTGACCCGTCGCCCCGGCCAAAAGGCCGCCGGCACCCGCCGCATGCACGGCACCGACGGCCGCGGCTCGCACCGCGCCCACCGCTACTAGATATGTGTGTGCGCATACAAATATTACCCCCCCCCCACAACACCCTTCTATCGTTCGATAGATATCAACAAGCGAGTCTCTTATTTGTATGGATTATGAATGAATTGGATACCTGTTGTATTAGTATTATTGAGAGCGATTTGGTTTAGAGATACCATGTCTGTGTTACGATATGAAATAAACAAAGTAAAGCAAACACACTTTCTTTTGACTCGGGACTGTGAGGACTGCGGCATGATACTTGTTTACTTTGAAAACTTTGAATTGTGACTACCTATCTGGGCTTGCCCCCCTTAACCTCTAATTACACCAGTTACCATCCTTCCACTGTGACATCCGTCCTCCATGGTGGCGTTTGTATGTCATTCGGCATATGGGAGAATCTTGCCAAGGTTTGCTGATGTTCAGTCTACCCTGATTCTCTCATGGTTGGGTAGGGTCGCAAAGTGGCAGTCTGAAAGAGAAGAAATATTCTGTTGTCCTGTTGTCCTGTCGTAGAAAAAGTGGTCCACGAATTGTTGTTACTCCGATTCGCACAGCAACCGGTTGCCTAGGCCTAGTAAGGAAGGCAGTAGGACTTGTATTAAGGTTGCTCAATCGTGCTCGGGAGTACTGGAGACCTGTTGATTTGTTCGAGTCTCATGAAAAAGGAAAAAAAAGTGCAGCCGGATCCGAAAAGCAGTCCAAGTCGAAATTGGATGTATTCTTCTGCACAATATTAGCTAATGATTCGTTCAGGAGACAGCAACAACTTACACAAATTTGGGTCAGGCCAATCAACGAATGTAGGTGACTTGTTGGTACCATCTCAATGTTTGGCCGCGGAAATACTCAACAGGTTTGCCAAATTCCAGAAAAGAATGTAGGCAGGCTTTCTCCAAATTGTTGAAGCCAGCTGTGGAAGCTTGTAGGAGGCAGCAGCGATTTCAGATCTTTTCGTTTGGTGGTCCTCAGGCGAACTTCCCAGAACCACCGCACACAAAGAACCGATGGAATGGCCCAGACACCCAATGGTGCCGCCAAAGACGATCCAATGTTTTCGGACTCATCAAAATTCCGCGACGAGCTCTAGCAACGACGACGACGACGTCTCGGAGCATATACGGTCACATCCTACTGCAACTCGTCAATATCCAGCGCATCGAAGTTCGAGGGTCGATTGTATGTAGTGTACCGAGGAGAAGGCCGAGGAATTCGGGAAGTAGTCGTCGTGATGCGGGTGAACTCTTCGCGATTGTATCGACGCAGAGAGACTGTGCTGGCCTCGCCGATAATGACAGTAGGCTTTGCGACAGGCTGCTTGGCCTCGCTCGACATCAGCGCGGCGTTCACATCTTTGGTGCCCAGGGCAGCCGGTGCGAGGACGCCTTCCCACTTGGTTCTCAATTCTTCCCGCTGCTCGGGCTTCTTCTCCATCTCCTCGATGACCATTCCACGAAGTTGATCTTGGTAGTCTTCGAGATCCTCCTTGCTGGGCGACGGGTGTTTCTTGGTGTTGGGCTCAGGCTGATCGCGGAAGAGTCTCCAGCCGCCCGATAGCTTCAACTTTCTCGGAGTAGGGCCGGGAGCACTAGGGCCTCCCTCTGTGTCGTTGATGGACGCGAGGTGACGGTCGTCAGCCTTTGCATACCGCTTGGAAGGGCTTTCGGCAGGAGCTGCCTTCCGGTCGGGTCGACGCGGGGTCGAAGCGCAGACAGGCTTCTCGGACAACATTCCCTCGAGGTCGGCATCGAAGTCCTTCTCAGTGTCAAAAGGATTCAAAGACGGAACCGGAGGGACACCAGTAGAGTCGAGGCTACTCTTGAGGCGATGCTCAAAAGGAGTGGGCGGACGATTTGCGACTTCAAACTCCCCGGAGAAGGGATCTTCTGGTGAATCGCTACTGCAAAGCGAACTATCGTCGTCAGTCACCGCCTTGCGAACGATGCGATCGCCAACGATGCTTTGGACCTTGTGGTTGTGCAGGTTGTTGCCCTCGTTGAGACGAAGCTCGATGGAGCTGACGATAGACGCCTCTTCGACTTCGACTTCGACCTCCTCGAGGTGATAGTGCGCTGCAGGGTTAGGCAGATCGCAGGCGGTCAACCCAATAGGCGCTGAGATCTTGCCCCTGATCTTTGATTCCGGTGTTGCAGGCTTAGGCAAGATGGATTCGAATACGTGGCGAACCTTGGAGACGACCTTGTTCTGAAGAAACAAAGAAGTCTTTGATGAAGGAAGCGTGGGTTTCTCTGAGCCGGGGGGCTTCAGGGCTTTGGTGTGAGCCAGCATTGCATTGGTCTTTTCATCGACCAAGTTGGGGTTGATCAAGGCTGATATAGGATCATTCTCTGGACCAAGCATATGGGCGACCACATCCTCTTCGACAGCAGCCCGCGCGGCAAGAGCCTGGGCGACAATAGCCCGGGAGACAGCAACCTGTTCAGCATAATCCTCTTCAGAATATCCACCGTATGTGAGTGGAACCGTTGTAGAGGAAGGCAGAACCAGAGGATGTCTATTGCCAGGGTCGAGCATCGTTGTCTTGGAGTGCGGGAACTTGAGAATTGCAGGGCGATTCTCGGTGTCGACGAAGCTATCGACGTTCTTCTCCGGCTTACCACATTGGCGTCGTGAGGACTTTGCAGGGATAGCCGGAGCAACCTCTTCAGTTCCCACAACCTGGGTGTCAGATTGGCAATGAGCGGAGAAATCCTCCGATGGAAGATTGACGATTCGGTATGTCGAAGGCGCTTCGGATTGCACATCAGGAGATACCATTGGTGCGATAGCCATCGGCTCAGTTCCACAGAGGAGAACGGACGGGTGACTGCGCAAACCGTTTGGATGATGGTAGATGGTGGTCTCCAGCAAGTCGTTAGCCAAGGGGTCGTTATTTGGATCAGTGTTGCCGCCTGGATTAGGGTAGCTGAATGGGTGGGCGGGTCCGCTTCGATTCGCAGGCAGCGAAGGAGTGACTGGAGCTATTCCAATTTTCAGCTGGTACCGGACGAGACAATCGAACTGTCATTTACCTTGAGTCTCTTTTTTCTCTTCCTTCTTTCTGCCCTTACCACGACGACGCGGCGCCAGATTGGCGAGGGTGCTCATGGACTTTTTTTTCATCGTACATGAGGTATTTTGGGACCGGGCGAAGGAGTGGACAGGACGACAAGCGTCCCAGGGGAAGAGGAAAGTCAACGACAAAACGAGGAAGCGAATGTTGGCGAGGTTCGTGATGCTGCGAGGCTTCACAGTGAGTGGTTAGCCAACCTGGAATATATCTTCCCGAGTACTTGATGCTGACGAACCCAAGCAGACGAATCTGAAATCTACTGTTGCCAAAGCCAGCAACAGGCGACCGAGTTGATAGTTGCGATTTCTTCTGAAGAATTTGGGGGGATCGTGGGGAGCGAACGTGGGGGACACGATGAGGTGTGGAAAAGAAAAAAAGAAGCGAGCGAACCGAGACCGCCCTTCCAACTGAACTGGTTTTTCCGTGGGAAGGTTCGGACGTTCCTCCTCTCAACACCAAGCCCACCGTCGTGGCTTCCTGTTTCGAGCCTCCGAGATAAGCCCTATGTTTCGTTCGGCGTTTGGTTGTTCCACGGGAGGTACCTAAGAGCGGAGACTCGGGCGTGGCCCCGGGGGACCTCTGACTTGCACTGGAAACCTCAGGGGACGATAACTCAAGTCTGCGGCTTGGAGGGCGAGTCCAAGCCGCAGGTTGAAAGAGCTCACGGAGGATAGGCTCGGTGGCTTTGTCTGAAAGTGAACCTGAGTGCCCCTGATTTGCACCATCCGGAGTTGTCGACTTTCAGTCTTGGGTTGGGGGGTGAGGCCTTCAACAAAGTCTTTGTTCGAAATGGAGTTACAACATGCCTCTCAGAGAACCAGCACCAATACTCGAATGGCCTCGAAGCAATCTCAAAGAAACCTCTTGGGGATCTCGATTGTGTTCCATGCTGGGAAATATCACGGATCGTGGCTGAGGCGGAGATTTACCTCAAGACATGAGAACGCCGTGGCTGGCTGTTGCGCTGAAGAAAAGCAGGAAACCGGGATCGCGCAGAGTCATCTTCTACAGTTCTCGGCCCGAAAGCACGAAAACATCAGGGCATCGGCAACTCTGTCTGGCACCCCGGAGATGGCGCTTCGCACGAGGAAGAGCATCGCAGTGGGATCATGCTATACCATACGGCGATGGGGCGTAGCATGGCTTGGTCAGACGGTGTAGCACTTCGCTGGACGTGTATGTGATTCAAAGAAAACTGTACACGTTCTAGCCGAAAGATAAGGAACATCCAGTCTCGACTCCGAGAGCGTTGGTTTGATATTGCCTGGCAAAAAGGGGGAAGCAAAGACGTGTAAGCCAGATTGGCATATGCCATTAACCCATGTAGATTGGAGAAGGAAGTTTAGATGCTCGTTGACCTTATGATAAAATCAGGTATTGAAGCCAAATGTGATGAACAGGCGAAGAAAACGCCCAAAGAAGTGCAGCGCATCCGGTCTCCTCCGAACATCACCGGAGTGCACCGTGGCCGGCGACGGGGCTTGCGGGAAGCCGGTCTGACCGGTGAACGTTATGGGTGGGCGCACAACGAGACGGAAGTCTAGGAGAGGAGGCACCGGGGAAGAAACGGGCGTGGAGCCAGCCGTGGCCACCTGCGGAGATACTCGGAGCATCTCGGTGTTGGGATCTGGATCCCTCCAGGAGAAGTTTGTGCCCAGCCCTTCGTCTTTCGCCGTTACATGGGCAGCGGGCCAGGGGAGGGAATTTTCTAACAGAGCGTGTCTCGGAAAGGAGACAGCGGTTCGGAATGTCAGAACAGGGCCGCTTCAAGCAAACAAATATGGAAGGCAAATCATTCGCAGCCGAGGTTTCTGACCATCTCGATCATCTTAGTCAGCGTTCGCCATGGCACGCCGCACGCATGGATGCAAGAGAAAGTTGCTGACCGGCTTACGGGCACAAGATGCTCGGTTTCGCCGTTGGAAAGCACGCGGACATCGGAAAATGCGACAAGAGGGTCCCGTTTGGAGCGGAGACGCCGCCACCGGAGAGGGCCAATTGGAAAAGATTGGACCGTGATTGGTCTGTCAGCAGTTCCATTGCGCAATTCTATTCGTCCGTTTCCAGAACGGCTTGACAGGAAGGCCCCACGCTGAACTCCGTCTCCTGCCGAGTCCCCCCCAAGCACCTTGTTATGCCAGCGACCACTGCCAAAGCGGGAAGGGAAAGCTGGTCCGTTTCAAATCCCGTCAACTTTTGGCGCAGCGAACCTTTTTGACCTCTTCTCTGTGCCACCTCAGCCCTTCGTATTTCTCCCATCTCCAGCCCCAAACCTTCCGAGCCATCCCTTTTCAGATAACGCCGTTCTCGTCGTCGTTAATCCCTCTCGTCGAATTGAACTCCTGACGACTCCCGTCGGGCAAAAGAACTACCATAAACACCACGAATCTCCTATTGCGACCACCGCGAACCCTTTTGCTTGTTCGCACTCCGATAAACGTTCGCCACCGCCATCGACTCAACCCCTCAATCAAACCCTCGAAACTACAATCTAACCCGACGACGCCGTAATACATCATGTCCTTCTCCAGCCTTGTTCAGGACCTCACCATGAGGGAGTCCGGCGTTCCGCGCCGACCCCGCGGTGCTCAATCAGTCTCTACCATTGACGATGGCCGGTCGCAAGTTTCCCGCGCCATGTCCTACGCCAGCACAGCGGCGACGAGTGTCAGCATCTCTGGCGACATTTCCAGCCAGCTGCACGGCGGCTACTTTCACCCCCTTGCCCGCTCGTGGCAAGCCGAGAGACAGTTGACCAAGGTCAGTTCTACGAGCGGAGGCATAATACAGTCATCCGTGAATCATTGCTGATCTGAACTCTCTCCAGTCTATGCTCATCTACCCTCTTTTCGTCTCCGACCAAGACGATGAGGAGATCCTGATCCCCTCTTTGCCCGGCCAATACCGCCGAGGCATCAACAAAACAATGGCATGGCTGGAGGTGCTTGTGCGCAAGGGTCTGCGCTCCGTGATGCTCTTCGGTGTGCCCGTGCGCCCGGGGACCAAGGACGCTCTTGGCACCGCCGCCGACGACCCAGAGGGACCCGTTATCAGAAGCATTCGCGCCATCCGCCAGCGTTTCCCCCAGCTCTTCATCTGCGCCGATGTCTGCCTGTGCGAGTACACTTCCCACGGCCACTGCGGTATCCTGCGAGACGACGGTAGCTTGAACAACCAGCTGTCCGTTGACCGCATTTCCGACGTTGCCATTGCCTACGCGGTGGCCGGAGCCCACTGCGTTGCTCCCTCAGATATGAACGACGGCCGTATCCGTGCCATCAAGCTGAAGTTGATCGAGGAGGGCATTGCTCACAAGACGGTGCTTATGTCATACTCGGCCAAGTTCTCGGGTTGCTTGTACGGTCCGTTCCGTGACGCGGCAGGCTCTGCCCCGTCGTTCGGAGACCGCAAGTGCTACCAGCTGCCCCCGGGCGGTCGTGGCTTGGCACGCCGCGCAATCGTCCGTGATATTGGCGAGGGCGCCGACATCATCATGGTCAAGCCCGCCAGTCAGTATCTCGACATCATCAGCGATGCAAAGGAGCTCGGCAAGGACATGCCTGTCGCCGCCTACCAGGTCAGTGGCGAGTTCGCCATGATCCACGCGGCGGCCAAGTCTGGCGTTTTCGACTTGAAGGCGATGGCTTTCGAGTCGACTGAGGGTATTCTGAGAGCTGGTGCGACCATTGTCATCAGCTACTTCACTCCCGAGTTCCTCGACTGGCTCTCCACCTAATAAAGATGATGGATGTCATGGCTTGATGATATAAAGGCAAGGTGTTTTGGGCGTATGTGACTATTTTGCTATTGAGATCATGACGTAGGAGAAAGCGGCATGATGGGATTCAGTCGTATAGGCTGGGATATAACGGGTTTCGGCAGGCGTTGGTTTCGCATATTTGTACAAGATACACTCCCTTCACGGTTCAGTGTCACACGTAGAGGATACCTAAAAAGCTAATGAGACGGCGGGTACAACGGGATGGATGCGACGAGCCGACGTTCGGGCTGCGGCTATTACAGACTCGACGTGTTTGTGTCAGGCGGGTGGTTCTTCTGTATTCCAAACTCATAAACCCAACAAGACATACAAAGATGTATTATTACCAAGTATCGACATGATTCAAGAAACACGGATTAACTCTCTTTTCTGTGCTGCGTACAAATTTAGATACGGCGTCCCGTGTCTGCAATGCTACTCTGTAGTCCGTTACATGGGAGACGAGATGAGACTCACGAGAGCGAGCCTCAGCGAGGTATTCGGGCTACGGATAGGAATTAAGCGTGGACGTGGTTCACCGTTCAGGAAGCGCGCCGCCGCCGCACAGAAGTACCTAATTGGTTCCGGGGGACGGGACTGGTACTGGCACAGGAGCCACTCACCCACTCACCCACTCAACCACTGGAATTCGGGACCTGGAGGGCAAGCAAGGCTCAACTCGAAGTGTCTCACAGCCGAGAGCAACGTCGATCCAGGGCCGTTCGCTTGGCCCCCCCCTTTGGACAGCGGGCTTTGGGTCGGCTTTCGGATGCTGATCGTCGGTCTGTTCTTGATTTTAATTGGGGCGCGCCCAAGGGGAGGCGAGAGACGGGATCCTAAAACATAGCCTGAGGGGTCTCCCTTCTCGGTTGCGAAACCATGGGTGGATGGCGGCGGCTCGCTGTTACGCCTACGGATATGCTCATGATGCTGTGCTGTATACACTGGTACAGTTGATAGGGGGCAGGGGACTGGCGTTACCTAGATGAAGATGAACCACTGAGCCCGGAGAAGAGAACTGATCTGACTGAGTGTTCACTAGTGACTGGCACGGCTGGATGGAAAATGAGCCGAGATTGACGGTTGGAATGGATCGGAGATGGAGATGGAAGATGGAGCAGCTGTCCCCGACATCTCATACTTCTGTGAGATACCTATCCGTACGAACGCGCAGATTCGCAGATGGCGGTTGAGGTGTAACTCCCAGAGCCCCAACAGCACATGGCAGGCACGACAGGCTAATAGCACGGCGTGGCGGCAGGACGGACGGGCGGGCGGTGCGGTGCCTGCCATGCACTCTGCGTGACGGATTGCCAATCTGGAACAAAGCCAAGGGGGTTGACTGCCGGGAAACAAGATGTACCCCTGACGGGGGGGAGGAAGAAGACCAAGACCAAGAAGTAATACCTGCATTCCCACTGGAGTTTTGTGGATATGCAAGACGTAAGGAGTACTGCACGCGCTGGTCGCGTCACTGCCTCTCTCGAGTCTCATCCTGTCAAGGGTTGCGCATAAAAGGTCTACAAAGCTCGAGCCACATCAACGGCAACACCCACCTCTACTCGAGGAGTATACCAGCTCGAGTAACTTCCGCTAACTACCATTACTTCCTCTACGCACAGGCTAGAAATATACGCTTCGGGTAAAAAAAAAATATAAAAACCGCTATAATAGCTTTAACTCTAAAGATAATTAAATCTAATAACATAAATTGATTTTATAGCTTAAATTTAACTTAAGCTACTTATATATAAATTTTAGTAGTAATTAGAGTAAGTATTATATAACCTTACTAATATATTAAAAAAAACATATTAAGCGAAATAACTTTAATATAGAGAAATTGGATTTCTTTTAGCCCGTACGTGCCCGCTCGAAGTACTGGGCGTGGATGTGGGGCGAGGCGTGGGAGGTCGACCTGGCTCGAGTTTTGTAGGCTTGTTACGCGCAACCCGCTCAAGTTGGGAGTCGAGAACCTGGAAATTCATTGGAAGACGGGTACCTACATGACCGTGCCACACTGCCACCTTAGGCGAATTGGCGAAGATGCGGTACCTGGCAACCTGACTCCAGCTTCCAACCAGCCGTCCGCGCCGCACGCCGCACCTGGACCGTCGCAGTGCCTCGAACACTCGAGCCTTGCCACCCCCCGGTTTCCCGAGCGCGGTAGCGTGGATCCAAACGCCGATCTCAACCTTGAGTGCCATCCCCAATACAAGGTACCGAAAAACTGGGACACTTTGGAACTCTGGAGCCCATCGAATCGCCCTCTTTGACCAATATGTGGCATTCCTCGATATCCCCCCCAGCCAGAATCTACAGAAGGTACTCCAGTCCGCTTACGACAGCTCTTTGTGAAAAAAAGTGGCACCGGGAAGCTTCTGATTCCTGATACGTCATGCGCCGAGACCTGATATCGGTCCTGAGATGCCGTCTTTTGGCTTGATGAGCGGCCATGGCATTCCTCGGCGGGAACAGAGAGAAACCTCTAAACGTTCCAACTGGCATCTTTTCTTTCCCCTTGAGCCCTCGAGGTTTTGGGACTCCCCTTTTCTTACCCCAAGGGCCCCATGGATCCTGAGACCCTTGCCGATGCTCATCGTCCTCTCCTTTGCCTTCTCCCCCCCTCCAGTCCGGTCGGTTCGGCGTCATGCCCAGACGAGCCGTTGAACCGTCATTCGTTCTCACGGTCTCACTCCCCATTGAGAATATTCTGCAGAAAGGTGTCAAGGACCCCCAAGGTGTGATGCGCCGGCGGAAGACCCAAGAGGGAGGGAGGGAGGGAGGGAGGGAGGGGGGGCGGGAGATGATGGGCGGCGCACCGCGGCGGACTGGGGCTCCATTTCTTGGAGGAAAAGAGGATCCCTCTCTCTCCCACTGCCCACTCTGCATGCCTGCCCACTTCTCTCCATATCTCCAATCATCCATGAAAAGGGGAATCTGGGACTGGAGACATTCCATTGGATCATTGATTGAATCCATTGGAGAAGAGCCGACGACATTGAGACTTTTTGAGAGGAGAACTGGATCCAATATTGATTGATTGTCTCCGTAGGCCCTTTACGTACCCTGCGTGGCTTGCGTATCTCAGACACTGGGACGAGTGTGCAATATCCAGTCATGTTATGCCCCATTCCAAAAATCAATCCACTGAGCTGTTCGTTTGGTCACTGGCGTCGTGGTGTCTTGGATTCTCTTCGTAAGTTTTGTTATTTTTATTTTTGTTATTTTTCTCACTCAGAGTGTCTGACAGGTCTTTGTGTGCGTGCATCCCTAGTAGAGAGCTAGGTGCACGTAACAAAGCCAATAAACAGATTAGATCTGCCGATGCTGCATTCCCAGCATTGTCTCGCTTCGTCTCGCTTCATTCATATGATATTCCCGGGGCTCATCGTTTATCGTTTTGTTTCCCCTTTATTTCTTTGCCCGTGCTTGCTTATTTTGGCGCGACCCAACAACCGGCCGCCCGCCCATCTCTCATAGAGTCCATCCCACTTTCTTTGGACGTGCTTCGATATTTCATATAAGTGTGAAACCGCGCGGCCCCGTTTCTATCTCCCGCCCCAAGTGCCCCAGTCTCCGCGACTGGACCCGATGTTTCTTGGAGCGATAACTTTACTTGCAGGTTTCCCAGCACCCAAGCTATCGAGGCTACCAAATGGTGTCCCAAACCTAGGTACTCGTTGCAAAGAGAACGTTGTACCTACCCTTTACGTTTCTAGCCTCATCGAATTAAGAATCTGGGTTGGATTTGGGATAGAGGCTATTTTGTTTCTCCCCGAGAGCCTTTTACCCCTTCTCAATTTTCCTCTCCGTCTCATGATACCCAAGCCACATAGGTACTCTTTTGGGTCTTTTGCTCTCTACTCTGTAGTCTGTACTCGATCGCCTTGCGTCGGTCATTATTCGTACTTTTGTCTCGACCGGCTTACTTCCATCGTTTCATCCCTTCTTTTGCATCTAGCTCATTGGACCGTCGGCGACCGTGCTCATCATCGAGTCTGCTCACCTACCACACTCACACATCCTTCGTTGGTTCGAACCCACGAGCCTCTCTGCCTTTTTTTTTCTCTCTCTTGTGCCCGCCGTGCGTGGTAGTGTATTGAGTGAGGTGCTGCCTTTCAGCTTCCCTTCCCTTCCCTTCCCTTCCCTTCCCATCCCTTCCCATCCATCAAACCAAAATTACACTTTGTTAGTCCCGTCATTCTTGCCTTTCCCGTGTCAGACAAGACAAGACAGGAACGAACAGACTGAAAGTGGGCAGGTGCCTTCTTTCCCATTCCCTAGTCCCTTCCTCGATGGTTCTTTGGGCCCTTTAAACTCAACAACAAGAAAGGAAAGAGTTCCTTGGCTGCTTCCCCCTTCCTTCCCTTCTCTTTCTCTTGCCATCTGAGGCAAGAGACACCAGACACAAAAACACGAGATAAACGTAACCTTCCGTTACAGGCACCAAGAAACAAAACTGAACACCTAGAGAAAACGAGGCTTTGGCTGTACCTTACTTTCTACCTATTTACGGATACCGTAGCACAGGCACATCTTTCTCATCCTGCATCTCTGCACTCTGCACCTGGTCTCTTCCATGGTGCATCCCTTCCCAAACCAGTCATAGCTGCCACAGTTGAACCTTTTCACACTCTTGCACAACCCTGAAACAGGCCCCCATCAACCCACACCACTGACGCTCTCTCCCAACTCTGCTCACCTCGAGAGTCGCGTCTTTCTCAACTTCTGAGGTCACAGCCGCCTAGCATCAACCCCACATTGGCACATCCTACGGGTACGAAGTACCAACCCGTCCTTGCTCCTCTTATAGCCAGACGGGGGGAACCTCGAATCGTTTATGCGCTGAGGTGTCGTTCCGAATCTCAGCCCAGCCGGACCCTTTTCTTTTCGGTTTTGGCTGTTTCCTCTCAGTCTTTCCACCGTTACCAATCTCTTTCTTCTCTGCTGTTCCTATACCCATTCTCCACATTCCCTCTTCCCAAGGGCCCACGCCTTTGCTACGTCGCGGAGGTATCCCAGGTCTTGGATCCCCCTCCCCCCTCAAAGAGTCCTGCTTAAGCCCAGGTCCCATCAACAAGGTCAAGGTCAAGGTCACGGGCTCGTTGACGAGACGAGACAAGACACATGCCCAGCCGCATCCAGCAGCACCCAGCAACACCCACGCTTCCCAGCCAGCCTGAGCCAGCGGCGGTACCTCCTCCTCGGGAAACATCCTTTCTCACAGGCCCTGTCTGTTCAGTGTCTGGTCCCAATTACATTTACCTGCCCTGGCCGACCTTCACTCTCCTTTCGCCCCTCCCCTCTGCAGATCCAGATCGTCTGAATAACAAGGGCCTTCCGGATCAAAACCACCTCATTCCCTCCTCCGCCTCCCCTTCTTCTCCCACCTGATTCTATTTGGCCCTGTCCTGTCCAAGCCGTGCTTGCTTGATACTGTACCTACTACTACCTGCCGCCTGGCCACGAGAGCCTTATACCCAACCCACCTAGTCCCGTCCCCAATCAACACCAAAATCCGCCCACCGGTTCCATTGCAGGACAATGAACGGACACGCTGCTTCAAAAGTGTCCCTTTCACACGAAGAGGGAATGGGACTCCTGGACGAGAAGACGTTATCCGACGTCGAAAGCGAGAGCGGTAGGGCCGACCTCGAAGTCCGTTTCGCGATACCACGATGGTCGACCGTCGCCCGGGGTGTAGTTGGCTACGCGCGGGCCGTACCATGGAGGGTCACGGTGATCCGCGGCCTCATCTTCCTACTGCCTAGCTTCGTCCAGAGCCGATTTACGAGAGAACGAGGCCGAACAGACAAGCTCTTCCCGACATCACATCTCGACGGCATGCGAGGCTTGGCAGCGCTTTTCGTCTTCTTCTGTCACTACTTTTACCAAGCCTTCATCATTGCCGAAGGTTGGGGTTCATCAGAAAAGAACTACCACATTCTCAAGATGCCCTTCTTTCGACTCTTCTACCAAGGCCCGCCAGCAGTCTGCCTGTTCTTTGTCATTTCCGGTTACGCTCTCTCCATGAAGCCGATCAAGCTCGCCAGGGCCGGGAACATGGAGGAATTCTCCGTGACGACGACATCTTTGATTTTCCGTCGATTCATCAGATTGTATATGCCGACTGCCATATCGACCTTTTGCATCATGCTTTTGCTCCAATTCGGAGTCTACGAATGGACCAGAGATTTTGCCATTGATCGGGCTTTTCACAAGAACGTCATGGAGCCTCACCCTAAGCCGTTGGACACCTTTTCGGAGCAGTTTTACGACTGGGTCTGGAGCATGTTCAGCTTTGTTCACGTGTTCGGCTGGGAGCGTTTCGGTGGAAGCATATGTAAGTGGTTTGTGGGGAATCTGTGTGGTGTGATTTACTAACAACATTCCTAGCGTATGATGTACACTTGTGGACTATCCCGGTGGAATTCCGCTGTTCCATGTACCTGTTCATCACCCTCATCGGCTTGGCTCGCGTACGGTCCGCACTCCGTCTCCTCTTCCTCTCGGGAATCATCGCCTTCACCTACCGCAACAACCGCTGGGAGCTGCTGCTGTTCTACTTTGGCATGATGCTTGCGGAGTACGATCAGATCATGGGCAACAACACGCCTGTGCAGCAGCCCTCGGTCCTTCCCGCGAATGGCGCGGCTCCACCCCAGGGAAGCCGTCTCAAGGGCTTCCTCTGGGCAATGCTCAGCATTCTCGCCATTTACTTGATGTGCCAGCCGGACATCAACTACGAAATCACTCCTGGTTGGGTCTGGCTCTGCTCATTCATTCCCAAGTGGTGGGAGGAGGAAGGATACCGATTCTGGCAATCTATCGGAGCTGTCATTTTCGTTCTCTGCGTCGGCCACTCGCCTAGATGGAAGAGCTTCTTCAACCTTGCTCCCATCCAGTATCTCGGCAAGATCAGCTACGCCCTCTACCTCATGCACGGACCAGTCATGCACACCGTTGGTTACATGATTGAGAGACGTGCGTACGCCATCACCGGTCTCGAGGGCTGGTGGTACAATGCCGGATTCGTTCTGGGATCTTTCGGCTGTATTCCTGCGGTTATTTGGGCCGCCGATGTTTTTTGGCGCTTGTTTGATATCCCGACGGTGCGATTTGCAAAGTGGGTTGAGACAAAGTGTCTCGTCAAACAGGCATAGAGCAGATTGGGGTCAAGTGCTTGCGCGTCACGGCCGATATTGCGTCTCGACAAAACGGTCACACACGATGAGCTGGGTCTCGAAAGTCGTTATGGAAATCGACTAATAATAGCATGACACGGCGTTTTATATCACACGGCATTATTACTTTATACCTGGCGTCGGGTTTTTATTATTATGGGGATGGGGTTTTATCAAACTGTTGGGGTAATTATAGATGGCATCTTGACAGAATGCACCTCTCAGGACCACATGATGGACTGAACAAAGTACAGAATAAGTACACACGGGGAGAGACAGATGAAGACGCAGCGAATCAAGTAGAAACGGCCAAACACGCCAAAACACTCTATGGGTATCAATTTGATTCGACTTTCTTTTCCATGCCGTCATGTGTCTCACATTTCTTTTGAATTACTCTCCGCGAGGTCTGTAGGTGCATATGTCCGCCATATTTCGGCCTGTAGATTTCAAAAGTGTCTCTAAACACGTCCACGCAGCATCGTCATACAACACGAGCTGTACCCAGCTCCCCCGACTCTGACTAACCAATCATGCTCCTCTTGCGACCCCTCATCCTCACGTCCTCGAGCTTCTTGAGCGTCACGGGCGCCAGTTTGTACGAGTCGCGGTAGGCGTCAAGGACGTCCTGGAAGTAGGCCTCGGCACGCGGGTGGGTGCTGCCAAAGGCGCGCTCGAGGACGTAGAGGTCGACGGCGCGGTCTTCGTCCGAGGTGCTTTGGCTTGCGAGGCCAAAGTCGATGATGAAGACTTGGCCTTCGAGGGGGTCGTCGTGGTCGTTTGTTTGGGATTGGTCTGTGGTGGATGTGGATGTGGAGGTCTTTGGTGGCCGGAGCATCATGTTTGATGTTGTGAGGTCGCCGTGGACGATGCCGATTTTGTGCATATGGCCTATTGCTGTGCCCATTCTGCGCATTAGGTTTTTGATGCCTGATGGGTCCTTTTTAGGCGCTGCTGGTGCTGCTGTTCCTTCCCCTCTTTCTTCTGATATCGTGTTTACCGTAGTCCGTTCCCCAAGCCACTCGTTAATCCTCACCCTCACCGGCGCGCCGGGGATCCATTCCAGCATCAACCAGCCCGCCACCTCGTCTAGGGCGTAGAGCGCGGGTACGGAGCAGCCTTCGCGGCGGCATTTTGCGAGGACGCGGGCTTCGGCGAGGATGCGGGAGCGGGTTAGGCGGGCGTCGAGGGTCGGGTGGCGGTAGGGTTTGGGAGGGCGGTATTTGAGGGCTGCGGCGCGGGTGGGGGTTAGGTGGGTTGTTTGGTAGAGGCGGGCTTCTGCGCCTTGGGTTATTAGGGTTGGCTGGGTGGAGGAGGGGTGGAGGAGGAGGGGAGGGAGGGGGAATTGGCCCGAGGGTGGTGGTTGTGATGTTGTTGTTGTCATTGTGTGTGGTTTTTGGTGGTGAGTTGGCGGGAGTGGTGGAATTGTCGCGATGGTGGGTGAGGGTCCTGGGTTTCGCCCTTTTGCTGTGTTTGTATTGTCCTCTTGCTTCTTCTTCTTCTTCTTCTTGTTTTGTTTCGATGCGGGGTCTCGTTTAGAGTTGTGCTTGAGTGTATCGCGATCCGTGTATGGAAGCGTTTTTGGAGTGAGCTTTTGTCGTTTGTGAATATCTTCAAAAATGAGAAAGTTCGATCGGAGGGGGGGGGGGGGGGGACCTTGGAGGGGTAAATGGTAGATTGGTTTTGGTGGGGTTCAGTCCTCTGTGGCTTGACCGCCTGTGCCGCCCCTCGGGATTCTGCCGTTTCTGCCCAGATGGGTGAGGTGCTCTTATTCGCTGTGGGGGGGTTCGGGCGCTAGCGTTAGTGGGCGTTGTGTGGTCGAGGCCTACGCCCGCACCCGGCGAGCTTCTATTTTTTTTTCCTCCTGGCGCTTGGGGCCGGTCATCCGTCGTCGGGAAGGGGGGACGGACGGGCCGGGCCTGAGGTGCTCCGCTTTGGATCCTCGATTTTCTTTTTTGCTTCTACACTGGTAGAGATTCCAGTTGATTACTTGCTCTTGACGTCTGATGGCAAGATGTGCTGTTAATCATCGCGCGATCACTCTTTAATCGACAGTCGGTTTTCGTCCTTTGTCTTGAGGGATGGCATTTCAGTGCTGTGCACGTATTCGGCCGTCTCAGGAGGCTTAACCCACCACTCTACAGCGGCAAACGCTGAGTCTCCTTGATGCTAGAGTCGTGCCGTTGGACTATCTCACTGTGGTTTTCTTTACATCGCATTTTCCATCCGCGTGGCGACTGACTACAAACAGGAGTACACATTCACTGTTACACCAACACAGCCTGGGATCGGAATCACAAGTGTGACGCTCCATCTAAAGCCCCCCCTCCCCTACTATCTCGACCTTGCACGACCATATCGTCCGGGTATCCCGCTCAAGAAGCAGCCAAGCTGGAGTCGCCTTTCTCCCCGATCTCGAGGGAAACGGGTAGACGCCGATTCAGGAGGCACCAAGTCAAAAGTATGTTCTGCGTCGTCACGAGGAAGAGGGGGACTCGGGCATGGGTGGTGGTTGTGGTGGTCTCCCGCTATGCAGCCCAGCGGCCCAGCAAGGGAAACGAACCAACGAAGATGGGGATTTCAGAGCAGGCCACCAATCATTTCATCGCGGAGTGCAGTGCTGATGAATCCTTTTCGGCGGCGGCCGAGAGGGGCAAGTGAGCAGTAAGTATGCTCCGCTTCTGCTTTTCTGATTGAGCTTTGGGTACGAGACTTGCGCGCAAACCGAGTGTTTCGTTTCGCGCCTGTTGCCGAAATGTGGGAAAAGATATCTTCTTCAATGTTTCCGAGGTATCCTGAAGTCGCGCAAGTGCAAGACAGAAGAGATAGGGAGCACAAGGGAAGTATTAACAGACCTGAGGGACTTTGGACACAACCCTCCCAGGGAATGGGGTTTATGCTTACATGCTCCTCTGTTTCCCATGATGGATGTATGCTACTTTACCCTGCATTTAGGCGCATACTGCAGCAGGATGAGCAGCCTTTTCTGCGCGCGCCAGCTTACCTACCTACATTGATTACCCTCACGTTTGCCGCTCTACTCCTTGAGCTGGCTGGCTTGCTCACATTTCATTGTTCTGTGTCCTTTACGTTTCCCTTCGTCTTTTCCCTTTCAGCCGCGGTTTGCCTACGCTGTTACACACATCTCCCGAGGTTTTCACCACCACCACCCCCACTACTGCGCAGGCTGGCGGTGGAAAAGATCTCATCCTCCACAAAGCCTTGTGCGATTGAGACGATGTGCTCTTCAGTTCCATTGAATTGATCGACCCCCAAGGACTTGTCTTGATCAAAAGTTTCCGTTCCCGAGGGGTGGGATAGTAGCAAAGAAGACGGGGGAGAAGATGAAGGTTCTCGCGATCCTCGCGCTGGTCGCCACTGCCGCCGTCGCGGCCACCGGCACGAATGCGGCCTTTAGACAGAGATACGCCGCGGTCGACATGTCGCCAGCCGTCGAGGGCGCGTGTCTCGTTCCACGCTTCTTCATTGACGCACCGAGGCTCGCTGTTCGTGATGGTGGTATATGCAACCCGAACTTTCATTCCTGTAAGTACAGCCCGCTTGTTCAAACGTTATCGATATCCTTCTTCTGCGTTCATTCTTGACCTTGTATACCCACTCCAACGTCCTCGAAGACTTTTTGCATCTCAGAAGACGAGGGAATGGAGAGTGATACCACTCATCACCAAGACATCAGACTGAGAAAACAAACCCCCCACAGGCGTCGATATAGGCCACCCCGAGACCTGCTGCGGAAACACGAACTACTGCTACGTAAAACCCGACAATACACCATGGTGCTGCCCCCTCGGCTCCAACTGCGACTCAAACTGCGCCGCGACAGCGTACCAATGCCCAACAACCATCACCGTAACCGCCACCGTCTCGCAGACCAGAAGCGCGTCCTCCGCCTCCGCCGCCGCCCTCCTCACAACCTCTCTCTCGACATCCTCAGCCTGCTGCGGCCGCACATGCCCCTCCCCCTCCGCCTTCCGCTGCGAATCCCAATTCGGCGGCGGCTGCTGCTCCTACGGCCAAACATGCGTCTCCAATCGCGGCTGCGTGAGCACGCTCTCGGCGCCCACGTCGTCGTCTGCTGCTACGGGCGGCGGGCTGAAGCCCGCTGATCCGAGGTGTGCTGCCACCACGCAGCACGCGTGCGATGATGGACGGGACGGGTGCTGCGATAATCTTATGCATTGTACTGTTGTTGGCGGGACGGCCGGGTGCGCGGCGGGGAATCCGACGGCTACAGGGGATGTGGGGTATACTACCGTCCCGGACGGAGGAGCAGGAGGGGGATTGTCGGCTGGGGCGAAGGCTGGGATTGGGGTTGGTGTTGCTGTTGTGGGATGTGCTCTCGCGGGGGTGCTTGCGTGGTTTTGTTTTGTGAGGAGACGGAGGGGGAGGGGGACTGTGACGGGGACGGCGACGATGTCTGAGCGTAGCGGTGGGCGTAGTAGAGGGGCAGGAGGAGGGGCAGGAGTGTTTGGCGTCGGGAGCGAGAGGCCTAGTCGCGGGGTGCGGGCATTGTCGGACGTTACCTCGGGATCTCGACCGAACGGGCCCAGTCGGGGCGCGACGCAGGATTACTTTGGTCCGGATGCCGTTGCGGGGCCGTATACCGAGACAGAGGAGACCGGGATGTCCGCGGCGGTCGATGGTTCGGGAGCCGGGGCTGGAGCCGGAACGGGGATGGTGGGTACGCCTGGCCGAGGGCGGGGCGTGCCGCTACAGGCGCATTCGCCCAACGACGTTGTCGCGCCTGTGGAGATTGGGGACTCGGGCGGGAAGAGAGGGTACGGCTACGGCTACGGCCACAGCGTGACTTCTGTGCCGGAGGAGGAGCATGAGGGGCCGCGGGAGTTGCAGACGCCGGTGTCTGCGGAGGAGACGACGCAGGGGCGGTACGAGTTGTACGGGTCTGAGATGGCTTCGCCCGTGTCTGGGGCGCCGCCGTCTTCGATTGTGCCTACGCCGTCGATGATGACGCCGCGGAGTATCGCGAGTGTGAGCATGTTTGATAGGTCGCCTGGTCCTGCTCCTTCGGAGAGGGAGAGGGAGAGATAGGAAGGGGGATAATTACGGGTATTGCTGCGAGGTGTTTGAAGGCATGCGCCTACTTGATATATAGTAAGCTTCAATGAGTACCTTATATGATGGATGGCATTTGTTGAGGATGTGAGTGACGATTAAAGTCAAGAACAGGACGGCAGATGCCAAGGTACAAAGAGTCCAGAAAATAGATTGAAGCAGATTTGGGTCTCAACAATTTTAAGTCATGAACTTGACAAGTGCCCCTCTACAATATTCCGCGAACAGTGTTGAGTAAAATATCGTATTCGAGTGACATTGATTGGTCTACCCTCATCATCAACCATGTACCTCCCCCGGTGCACATGCCAAGTCACGGGCCGAATGTATCACTAGCGGCCCGGGCGACACCCTCCCACGGCCGTCCGGCCCCGCTTTCCTCCGCGGAGATATTCGCACGGTTCCCACAATTGGAGAACCGAGGAGCCGCTGAGAGGGAGGGGATGACGACGAACCCTCCGAAGATCCGGCAATGCGTCCCTCTTGTTTTGTCAGCCGTAGTAAGTAAGCCAGTACCCTTTCGTGTCTCACATACGCACCAAGATCTCACTCCTCGATACACATCGATTCACTTTTTCCAAGATTCCGTATAAGACAGCGAGCTGACCCCGCTCGATCGTCACAATTCAGAAGGTTTCCAATAGTGCTGTCTCACAAAGTCCCGAAAAAGTCAACAACAACCCCCTTAAAAAATAAAAATAAAAGGTAGACGAAAGGAGAGGAAAAAGAAAAGAAACACCAATCATGGCCATCTCGAGACTGGTATCGTGGTTCCCCCACGTCAAGGCGCCCGTCATCATCAACGCGCCGATGCTGGGATCAGCCGGCGCCGCCATGGCAACTGAAGTTCACAAAGCTGGTGGTTTCGGTAAGGACGACTCACACTCCCTTCCAACCCCTCAGTCGGGACGAAAATGTCTGAGTGTCTCGCATCACGATCTCGAGCTGACAAATTGCATTTGCTCTCAGGGTTCATCGCCGCGGGCTTCGACTTCTCAGAGTCCTCGGCCCAGATGACGGACCTAGACAAGGCGCTAACCCAGGCCCGCACCCTCCTCTCGCTCCCGGCCGCCGACGACAGCGGCAGCAGCAGCGGCGCGGGAGGACTCCCGCTAGGCGTAGGCTTCATCACGTCCCACGAGACAGCCGGCCACTTCACAGCCAACGTCCTCCCCATCCTCGTCCGCCACAGCGTCGCAGCAGCCTGGCTTTTCGCGCCGCACCCAGAGACCAAGCCGCACGGCGACATCATCGCCGCGCTCCGCGGCAAGGGGACCAAAGTGTTCGTGCAAGTCGGCAACGTCGCGGCGGCGCGGGAAGCGGCCGCCGACGGCGCGGACGTCATCGTCGCGCAGGGGGTTGATGCCGGCGGACACCAGTTCTCGCGGGGCTGCGGCGTGGTTGCGCTGGTGCCCGAGGTGAAGGCCATGCTGGCGGCCGAGTTCCCCGAACGGGACGTCGCTGTCGTCGCGGCGGGCGGGATCGTGGAGGGCAGCGGGGTGGCTGCGGCGCTGGCGCTGGGGGCTGAGGGGGTTGTGTTGGGGACGAGGTTTGTTGCGACGGACGAGGCGATGAGCGCGCAGTTGCATAAGGAGGTTATTGTGAGGACGAAGGATGGTGGGGTGAGTACGTGGAAGTCGGAGTTTCATGATAGGTTGGTGGATAATAAGCTGTGGAAGGATGGGTATGATGGGAGGGCGATTGTGGGGGATATTCATCGGGAGTATCACGCTCTTGGCGGCCAGACGGCGACGGTGGAGGAGAGCCGGGAGAGGCTGCGGACGGGGTGGAGTGAGGAGGAAGGGAAGAAGATGATTGGGAAGTGGGCTGGTGCTGGGCTTGGGCTTATTGATGAGATCAAGCCGGCTGGTGTGGTGGTTACCGAGGTGAGAGAGGCTGCGAGGAAGAGGATTCAGGACCTGGTCGGGTCGATTTGAATGGAACATGAGGGTTTGCTCTTGTTGGAAGGATTAAGCTAGGTGTCATTATATCACCAACATCATCAAATCGTATGCTCCATAGGGGTTGCAAGAGAATCCATCAATAGGGCAGTTAACACTACGCCGTGAGACGCTTGCGTTCGTCCGAGTTGTAGCATAAATCTAGATGATCTAGATATCGATTTTGCATCGATCAGTGCCAGTAAGGACCTGTCTTCGATTTAACTTTTGGACTCCCCCCCCCCCCCCCCCCATCTCTTCATGTGATTTGGAATGTGAATAGCACCCAGGCGTCTGTCCCGGATTCCTGGACCAAGACATCTGACATCGCTCTGCCTAGTGTCCCTTTTCAGTCTTGGTCAACTTGGCCGCACTCTCAAAGTACCCATCCGTGCCGCCGTACTTGGCCAAGACCCCGTCGATATCCACCTCCTCCACGTCCCGCGTCCGCCTCCTCCCGAGCATGGCCGTATTCCGCGTGCTTGGGATACGCAACATCTCCGTCTCCACGACCCATCCGCAGTCCTCGGCGATCTGCGCCGCCCAGTCGACCAATGAAGCATACGTTGACTGCGACTTGGTCTTATCGCGCGGCGGCTTCGGGCGGAATTTTTGTCCGCCCAGGGCATGGCTGCAGCAGGGGATCATGATGAAGGGACTCTCCGACAGCGTCGCGAGGATCGGCGTCCAAGGTGTAAGTTCATCTGCGTGATTGGACACGATGAAGGTGTCTTTGGGGAAAGTGCCGTTATGTATCTTTGTCAGGTCCAAGGTAGGTACCTCCTCGCTCTCGGCGTAAGACGGCCTGGAGACAATGTCGGGGAGAAGGACCAGGGCCTGTAGCGAGTCCCGGCCATCTTGGACAGAATTGTACTTGGCCCATGACTTCCTCGCTCTGGCATCGAAGCCCCAGCCAGAGTATCCCTCTTTAATCAACAGATGAACTAACAATCCGTTGCCGCAGCCAATATCTACGAATCCGGGGAATGGCTGGTCCTTGTACATTTCTGCCCAGAGCTCGATCAGAAAAGCGGCAATGCCTAGATCCTCAAAGACGTGCTTCGACGGGTCCGTCGTCTCGGCCCAGGTTTCCACCAGATCCTTGGCGTACTTGAGCTTGAGCTCCATATAGCGGTTCTGGAACCTGGCCTGGGGAATCACAACGTCATGATGCACCCGCTTGGTGTACCCGCCGACCCGTCCCTGGCCGTGCTTGTACAGCACGGAGAGCAGCATGCGAGCGGTGCGGACTAGCTTCTCGACGGCGAAGTCGGCCTCGTCAAAGAAGAGGTAGTGGATGGAGACGGTGCCGACGGCGCGCGCAGCGTCCCACTCGTGGAGGTGCGCGACACCCCGGACCTTGGGGTGGTAGAAGGGGAGGGCGTCGGGCGAGGACGTGTGGGGGAGGTAGACGACCAGGGACCTGGCCTTTGCGGCATCTGGGGTACAGGAGGCGAAGACGCACGTCTGGTCTAGGGGATCGTCCCGGCGGGTGTTGCGCGGGATCAGCCTGCGTACGAAGACGCGGTCGTTGTGGAAGTCCTGAAAAGCAATGGGAAGAGGCTGCTGCTGCTGCACAACTTGTGCGGCGGCGCCGTCTTCCGAGGCGGCTTCAGATGCGGGAGGAGGGGGACATGTCCATCCCGGGTCCGAATCGTGTAGGATATCAGCGCGGAATAGCCATGACGAGTTGATGTTTGGGTTCTTGATGAGATTCATCATGACATCCTCAAAGATTTCGGGCCCAAAGGCGCACTCCTGCTGGAACAAGGGATGCCATATCTCGCCAGAGACATCGTGTACGAGGGGCTCTGCCGACTGCCCAAGTGCCGTCGGATCATAAGCCATGTTGGTATCCGTAGGCGAGAGAAAACAAAGTTGTTTCCCAGGCTGCAGGCTGAGAAAGAAGCAATATAATGAAACTTTTGAGTGTGATGGGAAGCTGGGAGATGTGACTCGGGCAGATATCGCATGAATTATAAGAATGGCGCTAGGCAGAGCTCGGTTAGCGCAGCAGGGTCGGGCCAGGAGCGGCCACTTAGGCCACGGACCCATGTGACGTTGTGAGTTGGCCAATTTTTTGTTTACTTTGCGAGGTGGGGGTGACATGGCAACCACAGGCCAAAATACACAGCGAGCAGAGCAGCACACCACATACATAGTACTGAGTACACACACACACACAAGGGCCGTCATTCTCCTGCATAAGCTCCGAACCTGGCACTACCACTACACACCAACGCGATAGCTCATTTCATTCTGATGACACACTTTTTACTCTTCTGGAGATCTTCAGTCACAAGCTTTTCGAGCCTCTCAAGAACCACATTCTTCCGCATGTGCTGACCAAGGAAGGTTGCCCTCAACAAGCACTACTCGCAGTGCGATCGTCTCGCCCGCGACAACCACGTCCACCACGATGGCGGAAAACGATAACTTGCGTACGGCGTCGCTGTATATCAACAATCAATTGCTCTCGCGAGGACTCCTACGCGATGGCCAAACAATCAACTTTGCCGACCCGGACGATAGTTCGGGCGGCGCGGAGGCCACCATGGGCAAGATCATGAGCATTGTCAATGATTTGATCTTGCGCCGAGACGTGCGTTTGCCCTTATTCCCCTGCTATGTATTTTAGAAAGAAAAAGAGGAAGAACCCCCCGTACTGAGATGTTATGTTTTCCTCCTGAAGCGCGACGCCGAACAACGCGAGAACCTATCGACCACCATGCGCACCGTCCGCGCCGAGAATCTGCGGTACACAAACGAAATCGCACGCCTCTCAGAGAAGCACACCGAGGCTCAAAGAAAGCTCGACATCAGCGAATCCACCGAAAACACCTTGCGCACCCAGCTCAAGTCTGCCGACGCCGCTGTACGCGGCCTCAAGGACGAGGTCGCCCGCGCCAAGACTCTGGTTGCCCAGACGCGGGCCTCCTGCGCAACGGAGGTCCGACGCCGGGACCGTCAGATCGATGGCCTGAAGAAGCAACTGGGTGAAGCCGGCCGTCCCCGCGGTACTGCAAAGAGCTCCGCCGTTACCGTTATTAGCGTTGTCGCCGGCGAGGGCGAAGATAAGGTGTCACCGAAGCGCGGAGGCAAGGCCGCCGCGGCCACAGAGGATTCAGGTTACGATCTGCGCAGCGAGACGAACGAGTTCCTGACGGACCTTGCGCGGAACCTTAGCGAGGAGAACGAGTCCCTCCTGAACCTGGTCCGTCGAACGACCAAGAATTTGCGCGAGATGAGTGGCTGTGATGTCAGGACAAGCCAAGGCGATAGCCATGCTGTAACGCTGCCCACGGCCGAGGACATGGCAAATGAGCTTGACGCCATCCTTGAGCACCTGCGCTCTATCTTGACGAACCCCTCGTTCGCCCCTATTGAGGAGGTCGAGGTCCGTGAAGAGGAGATTGCACGTCTGCGTGCGGGCTGGGTCAAGATGGAGAACCGCTGGCAAGAGGCTGTCCACCTCATCGACGGCTGGCGTCGGCGCATGGTTGCCGATGGCAAGTCGGTGAATATGGAAGAACTCAAGATGGGCCTCCGTCTTAGTCCTGTGCGCGTTCGCAATGTGGAGGAGACCCACCAGGGCGGCATGGACATGCATGAACTGTCTTGTGTGCAAGAAGAGTGCACCGCCGACTTGGAAGAGGAGGAGGAGGAAATTGATTACGACGATTTGCCCGAGTCTCCGTGCCCTGCTCCACAAAGGGTCGAGTCACTCCATCTTGTTCCCGCACCGGCAGAGTACGAGGCCGCTCCTCGAGAAGAAGACTACAACCAGGACGATCAGCAGAGCGACTATGAGTCAAGCATCTTTGAGGACGTCGATGTTGAGGAACTCGATATTGAGGAGCCCAATGTCCAGATCCTCCAACAATCCACCGCCTACCTCAGCTCGCCTCCTCTGCCGCCCCCTCCTCGGATGAGCCCGCTCCGCGAGATGCCTTCTGCGGGCAACCGCGACGCAAGGCCAAGGCGCGATATTCGCAGCGACTACGACACGACGGCCAACGAGAAGCCGAGGACAATCCGTGCCGTCGACGTCGCCCCGAAGCCACCACCACACCTCGTCCAACTTCCACGATCGCCGCAGAAGACAGTACACCCGATCGACGACCGCTCTCGCACAACATCCGCAGCATCCATCGCCTCCGAGTCGACACACAATGGCGCACCCCTCATCACACCATCCGGAACCCCGCCTCCTGAAGTAAACCAAACGCCAACAGCGCGGAAACTCCCCAAGCCGCCGCGTCTCGTCTCAGCGGCCCCAGCACCGAGGGAAATCCAATCTCCTGTCAAAAACATCCGTACAGTCTCCCAGGAGAGCCAAGAGAGCCAGACGAGCCAGGAGAGTTGCGAGGGCGCACCCCCTGCTCCCGCCGTCCAGCCCAACAGCAGCAACAAGAACGCAACACCGCACCGTACTCCTCTACGCCGCGTTCCCTCCCGTCTGCCCCTCCCGCGGCCCTCGGACCCGCCGCCACAGCAGAGCCCTCTGACGATGGCAACCATCGCAGCCAAGCTAGCCGCCTCAGAGCGAGAGGCCGACGCTGCTCGCGTTCGCGCGAAGCTCAAGGCAGCGCGCGGAGGTGCGCTCGGCAAGCCGACGGCAGCACCTCAGCAGCAGCAACAGCAGCAACATATGCCTCCCCCCCCACCAGAGACCATCGTCGCCATGCCACAAGAACCTCAACCCGTAGACTCCCCCTCCCCAGCAAAGACACGCGTAGACCGAGGAGACCTCGACCCCGTCAAGCGCGACATCCCCTCGCAAGACGAGCAGGTCCAGCAATCGCCGCTCCAACCGACCAAGCGCAAGCGCGAAAGGCGCGTGAGCAAAGTCGCCTCGAGGAGGCGGAGCACGCTTAGCCCGTGGGAGATGGAGAGCCTCATCTCTGGCAACGTCGCTGTCCCACCGTCACCTGTTCGGTCGTGAGATACCACACGATTCACATTCATTCAAACTTTGCGAACAAAACACTAGAAGCGAAAAGGTCCTCCCTCCTTTGCAAATTACAATCACTTTATAATATAACTACCCAACAACTCTCCTATACTTTTTTCTTTGGGAGGAAAAAAACTAAGCTGTCTTTTCGAGGGGAAAGGGGGGAATATCCAACGGCGTTTGAGAAAAGGGGGGGAACGAAGGAGCCTGTGTCAGCCTCGTATATATAAAGAGGCCGGCTCGGGGCTCGGGGCTTGGGGCAGGAGTGGAAAGAGGGGATGAATCGTCTTGTTTTCTGTTTGACTCCTTATATATCCGTGATGCTTTTTGGTCATTGTCATAGTCATTGTCAGTCAGACACCCGCCCAAATTTCCCGCGTCACAGCATCACATCAGCCCATGTGTGTGGAGACTGTTTTCTTTCAGTAGCGACGAGCTTTGAATCAGCCTACTAAATTAATTCACCATTTTGTCTTGTTTACCTTTTTTTTTATAGTCTACGTGCGATGCTGATTCTGTTGTGTGTTATGATATCCTGCGTGTGATTCTGTGCCATGTAAACTATTCATACCCGTCAAGGAAAAGATGATGTAGAAATTTGCCCCTTTTTTCCACGGGCAGCAAGTAACGAGTTCATATACCCAAGCAGTTACGCCTAATGCTATGAGACCTACACAACACAACCGCAATCCTGACAAAAGAGAACCAATAGCAATGTCTGAAGTTTCTTGCCCCGTTGCTGCTCGTCGAAAGCTACCTATCTTCCCGCTTTCACTCACTAATCTCGGCTTCGACGGGAGCCAAGGGTTCCAGCGGCACGGGGAACTCGGCTTCCCAGCCACCATACACGACCTCAACCCCGTGAGCGCCGCAAAACGTCCTCAGCTGGTCCATGGCCACACCTGTCAGCGCGCGCTGGTACACCTTCTTCAGCCTACCGAGTATCGCGACCCGCTCGATGATGGCGCCGAGGCGCAGCGGGTCGCACAGTTCCGAGTGCAGCTCGAGGACCTCGAGGTTCGGAAACGACTGGAGGAACCCAAAGAGGAGATCGACCGAGTCGATGCCGAGGCCTCTCTGCGCCGGGTCCCGCGTCAGGTTCTCGTGCGACTCGAAATCGAAATTGAAGAAGCCAAACGTGCGGACCGAGGCGCTGCCGCGTAGCCAGTCGAGCGCGCCGGGGAAGAACTGGCCCGGTTCCTGGCGCCAGCAGAGGCCGAGTTCGCGTAGCCTGCCGGAGCGGACGGCGGGCTCGAGGAGGACGGTGGCGAGGTCGACGCTCAGGGGCAGTTTCGGCATCCAGAAGCGCTCGAGGTTGGGGTAGGTGACGAGGGACTCGGCGGCCTCGTAGCCCGAGTAGTCGAGGGGCAGCTGCTGGGGTAACCAATCGCCGTGGTTGGACTGGAGGGCTGCGCGGGCGTCGAGGACGCGGAAGGAGGACGGGTGTAGCGGCGGGAAGTGGCGCTTGTCGCCCATGGAGAGGGCGCCGCAGGCTTTGCCGAGCTTGATCACCTGGAGGCCCGGCCAGAGGGACCAGCAGTCTTCTGGCGGGGTGAGTGAATCTAGGCCGGTAAAGACGCCAAAGTTGTCCATGTGTATTTGCTCAAGGTTTGGCGTTGAGCGGGCGAGGGCGAACTGAGGGTGCTGGTTAGCACATCTGGTACCTGCGCGGATACTCCAAGGTTGCGAGAACCAAACAATAGGGGAAGTAGACGGAAGAGAAGACACAACTTACGGGGTCGATTCGACGCTCAGGGGTCAGTTGGTTCAATGTCGAGTTCAGCGGACCAGTCAACTGAAGAACCTTGAGCCGGGGCAGCTCCGGCCAGCCTAGGTCGTTTAGGTGCATGCTGAAAAGCGATATCCTCTCGATATTCTCCCGGGCACGTTCGACAAACTGCCTCACAAAGGGCTGGGCGCCGCCGCTGCTTTGGTAATTCGGTTTGTCGACACGGAAGCTGAAGCCGAGGTGCGTGAGCCCTTCGAAGAAGAGCGGCTTGGGAGGCAGCTTGTAGCCCCAGTCGCCGCCCTCGGGGTTCCGCTTGATGGCGCCGATCTCGAGCCGCGTGGTCATGCGCGGGTTCGTGGTCTGGATGAGCGACAGCCATTTTGACTCGTTGAGCTGGAAGGCGTGCGCGTTGGGGATGATGAGGCTGCGGGCGCCGCCGCCGGTCCGCTTCCGCAACGTCTTGAGGAAGGAGACTCTTGGTGGCTTTTGCGGGTTTAGGGAGGGAAAATGGACTTGTCTCCAGATGTAGGGGTGGGTGTCAAGGAACTGGTCCCATCGTTTACAGACTCCCGATATTCGGCTGGCGCTCCAAGTCAGCAATTGAGTCAGGTCAAGGAGCGTTGGTCAAAGGACTTGGAATGGGTTCGTTGAGCTCACCATAACTCGTGAAAATCAAAGTATGAAAAGATTTTTTCTATCAACTCGATTGGTAATTCCATAGGGTCTCTCCGACAAAAGTGTTTGTGTAGTGGTTCGCGAATCTTGCGAAGTTGCTGCAAGAGTCTAGGTCAGCGCACATCCCAACAACAGCAAATTCAAGTAGATGCCGCATACCTCATATTTAGTAGTTCTGGTGAGGCCTTCCTTTTGTCCAACCTCGATACCGGCACTCCACGCAGCCCACGCCATCTCGTGTTTCTTCTCCAACTTGTATATCTTCCCCAGCCTCATGTACCCCTGAAAACCGGTTATTCACATGAAAACCGGCACAAAAGCAAGACAAGCACACAAAGTTGGTAAGTAGCGACAAAACGCATAATCAACCCCGAGATCAAGCAATAGAGTCAAGACTCACCTCCAACCGCCGCGGCGCAATTTCTAACAGCCACTCCGCATCCCTGCGCGCCATATCCAGCTTTCCCATCTTCTCAAAGCACGCAGCCCGGTAGTCGAGCGCCTGGACGTGGCCCTCGCGGTGACACCGGCCCCACGTCTTCTCTGCGCCGCACTTGCACTCCTTGGTGGCCTCCGCGTAGACGCTGCCCCTCTCGCGGCGGTGCCGGGCCGCCGCTTCAGCAAAGTCGCGGCATGTACACCTTTCTCGCCGGCGGCGCTGCTGCGCGGGGCTGTTGCCGTTGCCGTCTCCGCCGTCAGGACCTGCACCTCCACCGCCTCCAGAACCTGCGGCCCCGAGCCCTTTGAGACCTCGAGAAGCACGACCACCGGAACTACTTCCTGGGCCTCCACCAGAGGGGGCGGCGGACCCTCCTCCCGAGGGTGACGAACATGGGCAGTTCCCGGCGACGAGGGTGAAGTGCTCGAGTGCGACGCGGAAGCGCTGGTCCGCGTAGGCTGCGCGGCCCTTCTCGATTGACGCCTCCGCCGAGCGGACGCGAGGGAGCTGTCCAGGCGGCGCCATACCTTTTTGATGACGTGGATGTAAAAGACTGTGGTCTGCGCAAAGGGATCCATTGAGACGGCTGGTCAGTTTTGTACACTTATATATCTTTTTGCTTTTGTTGAATGAGGCAACAAGATCTAGCCAGATTTTGAGTCTTCCTCTTTGTAGAAAGGGGCTTGGTTGTCGTCGACTTGAGGTCACGTGGTACTGGCGATATCTGGCACTCACTGAGGGGAAGAGAACTTTATGAAGCAAACGCTCGTCTGAGGAGACAAAAGATCGGGGGATAGGCCAGCTAGTGCAGAGAACCAGAGGGAGTGGGCATCTCGTCTCTTTTCGCAGCTGGCCTTTTATTTTTGAAGGATAATGAAGTCCTAATGAGAAAGAAAAGAGTTGCTGACAGCTTGGATTCTGGCGGACGGGGTCGACGGTGCGGTTGTGGTGTCGCCGAGGTGGAGGCTCAGCATCTCCGAGGTTGGAAAGTGAGGTTGCGGGACGAGGGGCGGAACTCAGGGCGCGACGCGAACGCGACCGGATGTCCTCCGTAATGGGTCCCGCTGTGGCCCGTGGATGGAGAGAGCTACCGGTTTTTGCCGCCGGAGGGGCTCCTATGAGGAAAGAACGGATGGGTTTCAGCGTCTTCCAGGGCTTCGTGCCGCTATAGGGACCGCTGCAACAGCGCCCGCCTATTCTTTCTCGTCTGGATGATTTCATCGCATCTCTTGATGGAAGGTATCAGTCAGGGTACTTCCATCTGTTCCTTCCCTGACGTCTTGTCTTAGCTAATGGAAGGTACCATAGGTAATTACCTTCCTTACCTACTCTACAAACTTAGTAACAAATCAGAAAAGATGCTGCAAACTGTCTCTTCGCAGTGTCAACTCTTTTACCACAGACAGCCCAATGACCTCATTCCACAGCAAACACCATCTTCCCCGATCACCATCAACTCGTTCTAGACTCCAAGTTCCCGAACGCCCCCAAAATCCTACCGAATCCTACCGCCACCGTCCCCGCGAGAGGACGGCAGACCTTGCCGACTCCTCCGGTCCGCATCCGCCACTGTCTGTGGCGCTCCCGTCAAGTTCAGATCGTTCTCCATTTACAGAGCAATTGCGCCTCTCAAGTCTTCCCCCCTGCTCTGATCACACACCTATGCATCGAGGAGATCCTCCAACAGCCAACAGGGCCAGCTACTACGGATAGCATCGTATGAGGAACTGAGCCTCAATCTCACTCGCCCAAGCCCATCACCAGCCTCACCGCGCAGCCACATCTCACATCACTATCCTAAATCTCGAAGAATCACACGCCCCCTCGCCGTCATCTCTGGGCATCCTTCCATCGCAAAGAGCCGAGGACAGTCCCCCAGTTCAATCCAACAAGCTAGAGCACCCCAAGACCGAGGCCAAGCCCAGTGGCCCAGGGGGCGCAAGGCCGTCCCACCCAGCCGGTGTAACTCCTCAGCTGCTTATTGCCAGCGACGATCTCCGAGCTTTCGTGCTCTATGGCACACGCTCTTCCAGGCAACGACCGACAGGCACCTCACGCCCTTGCGCTACCCAGCCCGCCGACCGAAATGCAGTGAGAAGTTTCTGGTATCATCTCGCCGTTTCGAGGTATCATCTTCAGGAACCAGGC